GCGCTCCTCTGCTCTTAATGTTTCCCAGCCTGTAAATACCTCTAGCCATATTCAGAGCTCTTTTCATACACTATCTCTCATTCTTGGAACCAGTTACCATCTTCAATTAAATCAGCAACCACTTTATCGGAATTTAAGTCTGGCCTATCTCGCATAACTACGCTTGGCTGTAAGCCTATAAGTGTATTAGTATACAATTGTAGAGGTAGGGTTATGAATTGGTAATTAGGCTTGGGGTTAGGGCTATAATGTTAGGTGATTAGGGCTGGTAGGGTTTCAGGGGAAGTTCAGCATCGGGAGCTAAGTGATATTTTTGCGTTTTTATCATCTTTGTCGAGCGTTTTTAACATGAGCCATTAGGCTCGGGGGATTGGGTAACCACCCCCTACGTTGCCGACGTGAAAAAAATTGTTGTTGTCCACGTGATCAGTAAAAAATGGTCTAAAAAAGCTTTATTTTGTTAATTCAATTAGTACACTAGGCAGGGAAATCATCTTAACTGTCAATATTGCTCCGCTTCTCTTTTTAACTTGAATGTCGCTCAGTCACGATATTTCTGCTTTAATTCAAATAATAACACTTTTAAAAAATGTTTAAATTATTTTCCATGTTCCCTTTCACAAGGCGTCTTTTAGCTATGCAAACAAATTACCAGAATTCCGCTTTATTCAAGTTTTATAAGTAAAAATGTCCCATCAATTTGGCAAAGTGGGTATTTGCTACTTACAAGTGGGTATTTGCTACATAAAATGGGTATTTGCTACATGCAGAATTTCGCTCGTAAAATTGATAAAAATGAATGGAATAGCTTGTAAACACGTTGTAAATTCTTAAAAAATAATGCGTCATCCATGCATGCGAAAATCATGGCATTAGAATGAACTAAAAGTGAAATAATTCGAAAAACGCATTTTTAGAAATGTTTGGGTTCCAAAGTTTCAAGTCTTGTACACCTACATACCCAGAAGCGCACTTTTTGCTAAAAATGGTCTTCACAGAAAAAATTTTAAAACGACAGAACTCAGAAGGCTTTTACGGCAAAGAAGAACATTTAGAAGACCTTTGATATCCGGAAAAGTTTTTGAATTTTATAAAAAAAATGATTGATGTACCTAGGTTTGGGTATTTGCTACCTTCTGACTTTTCAGTGACGAAATGCGAACAACAATTAAACTTTAATAACGTTGGTTTTGCATAGAAGAGAGCTAAAAAGCAATATTCTTTTGGCTAGAATTGTTAAATACTTTAAAAAAAAACTTTTACTTAATTTAAATAGGCATAGAGAAAACGCGTAGCAAACACTCAC